GAGAGAGAGAGAGAGAGAGAGAGAGAGAGAGAGAGAGGAGCAAGGGAGAGAGAGAGAAAGCAATAGGGAAGGAAATGGAGAGAGAGAAGGAGGGAATAAAGGAGGGAGAAAGGAAGGGAGGGAGGGAAACAGAGAGACACAGAGAGAGAGTCCTCATCCCATGCAGAATGAATATACAGGAGGGTTGTGTGACAGGGCTGTGACCTCTGCAATGGGGACAGCATAGCCTGTGGCTGCCCTGAAGAGAGAATAAAAACCCACTGTGTTGTCTTCCCTTGTGCTCTCCATCTGTCAGGCCATGTGAGACAGCCACATAGGATCCTGTGGAGGCCGTTAGTGGAGGGCAGATCAGGCCTGGAAAGGCGGTAGAGGGTCCAGCATAGGTGGCTCAGCCTGCCAAACTGCAGCTGCAGGCCCAGGATACGTCTGTGGTCCAGGTTTAGGAGACGCAAGGCTTAGTGGACTCACACCCAATGCTATGGGCTCAGAAGGTCTTAGGGAGACTAGAAGGTGGTCATGCAATTGTTTCCATATCATGTTACTGGATGTTGTGGTTGATGTGTTTAATTTGCTCCTCATTCCAGCTGCTCAAGCTTGTACAAGAAGAGTCATTCATCAGATGAGTTCCTCCTGTGTGCCAGGAGTTCTGCTCATTGGCAAAAATAAGAAGGTAGTCAGTGGTGGAGCCAGAGTAAGAAGTCTCAAATTCCAGTGGAGAATGTCAAATACCATAATGGAAGTAATCAAAGGACCAAAAGACTTAGGGGAGCACAAGAGAGACCCTTACACTCAGAGGACACTGTGCCTAGCATTTACCGTGAGTTACACAGAGAAGTTTTTGAGTGGAAGATTAAACTCCAATTCTATGCTTCACTCCTAGAATGATGAGATGTAACAATTGACAGTAATCCTCATGAGCACTTAAGCTTGCTTTTAGCACACTTAGAAAGCAAGCAAAATGTACTGCAGTAGCAAGGCTGAGGAAGACCTGGGTTTCCTGACCCAAATTAGCCAAGTTTGTTATCATCACTCATGCTGTCCTCTTCAGAGCATATGGGGGCTCCACTGTGTAACTGAGGAGTAGCAAGAGCTCTTTATCAGTGACCTGAGGCAGATTTTTTGTTCTCTTTGAAGACGGTTTTAATAAATGATTTAAAATTTTCTTTTTTACTAATTATAATTTAAGCAATACTTGACAAAAGTCTTGTGCGAATACTTTCTTGCTTAAAAAAGTCCTTCTGAATATCCCTGAACAAATTAGACTGACCTCTTTTAAAGAGTATTTACAATTTTATTTGAGGACTGAGTAGGCTAGGGGAATGTTTGGGTTCAGCCAAAAATGCACAAAAGGCAAAAGCAGGAATGAGAAAGTAGTTGATGAGAAGTAATTTGAGAGAATCTGTTTGGCTCATGAGAGCAAGGAATGAATGTTTGCAAGGAAATGTTGTGGAAGACAAGGAGACGAAACCCCAAGAGAACAAGAGAAGCAACTCCTCCTGCCCTAGCATTACACAGCCAGACTGCACGTGCCAAGAGTTTACCTGTGTGGAATCAAGAGTGACTGAGACAGAAAACCCCTTTTTCTCTCTCACTGGGCCACATTGGAGATGCTGATTGGGTGATTTTTCCTATGTGAGTGGATTGTTTTCCTATATGAATGGATTATTTATACATTTATATGCATTTATAAATCTTGCCTCCTTTTGGCGTTAGGATGTTTTTTGAAAGCAATTCAAGGATACAAAATGAAATGAACTTAAATGAAATATTGAGTGCTTAAGTTTATTTACTTTTTAAAATTTTTTATTTTAAAGAGAATACAAAAAATAGAAAAAAAAAGCACATTAGAAATGGTACAGAATTTCACTAAACAGGGGCTGGTGAGACAGCTCAGCAGTCTAAACTGCTTGCTTAGTCAAGCTTAGGCAGGTGCAGGGGACCAACGTTTGATCCCAGGCACCACATGCTGCGCCAGCCCTGCCCTCAGGATAGGCTGAGCTGGCCACAAAGAAAAAAAAGAATTTCAATAAACAAAATGATAAGAATTCAACAGTGGTTATCATATTGCATATTGCTGTCTTCAAATTAGTTGTTCAGATTACCAACCTATAAAATTGGTCAAAAATTATAAAAAATTTAAACAAAATTATAAAAATTAAAAAGGAGAAAAAATTAAGCATTAACTGTTCCTTTCAATGGACCAGAAATAATCAGCAGTACAATTATCCAAGCAATCCTGTATACATACACATATCCTGAATATATATATATATTTTCCCCCCTCTTCCTTCTTTTCTCCTTTCCCTCATCCCAGTTGTTCCTTCCCTTAGAATAGTTTCTCTCCCTTTCACAGAATCCATTGTGCCTCTCAGATAGTATTTAGAGTGCTTAAATTTATTTATTTTTATTTTTTATTTTTTTGGTCTGGGTCATAACTGTATTTATTTTTTTTTTCAAAATTTTATCGATAAACAGCAATGAGACAGTTTCAAATCAAATCGGAAGTACAGTTTCAACAAATAACACACTGCATATATTCTTCTTAGTGGTTAATTGCTGTACAAGATGCGGACTTGAGATCCTATTTACAAACACCATTAGAACAAATCATTCTATTCATTAAGAGAATGCAACTATATATCTATCCTAACTACTTTGAATACACAGATACAAAATGGACATTCATCTGTATACCCTATTTTTTCATCTGTATACCCTATTTTTAGAGTGCTTAAATTTAATAGCGAAAGTTTTCTCTGATTTCTTTGGCTTTTATACTTCTTATGCCACCATGGATATCAAGAATAATTATAGCTGTTAATCATGATACCATGCAAATATTGACAAGAAGGCAGCTCTTGAATGTTGAAAAATAGTCTCAGAGTTAAAATGGAACTTAAGGGCTGGGGAGATAGCTTGGTGGTCTAAGCACCTGCCTGGCAAGCCCAAGGACCAACGTTTGATCTCTGGTATTGCATGCACTGCAGGCCCTGGGCCTCTGGGCGTGCTGTGTTGGCCACCGAAACCAGACGTGGTGGCACAAGCCTATAATCCCAGAGCTGGGGAGGTTTAGACAGGAGGATCTCTATGAGTCTGAGCTGCGTAGCAAGACCCTGGACCAAATAAATAAATAAAAGATTTTAAAAATATATTTAAAAAAGGAACTTAATTTTCTGACCTCATTATATGTTTAAAATTGTTTATCTGAGTTGACTTCCAGATTTAACTGTAGGGTCAGACTTAATAAGTGTTGGGTTTTGGGAAAGCTGTCCTAAGTTATAGCACTTTAGCATACTGAATATTTCAAGTTGAACAAATTCAGGAAAACTGAAAGAGCAGGTCACTCTAATCTTCTCCCCACCACACTTCTTTGCTGAAGCAGATAATAAAACATGTTTGGCTGTCCTCTGAAACTGATAGAAAGACCCTCGTGTGAGAAGTCCCATCCCTACATGCAGAAGGAAGGATTATCCTCAATCTCCAAAGACACGGGCACATGGAAAACTCAGAGCAAACAGGCCTGCCCAGCTTCCCCCAGCCTACTGTCGGCAGCATGCTACTTACACCCTATTCTATTTCTCCAAGACTCCATTCTTCATCAAACTAGTTATTAAAAAGGCTCCAGCTTCACCCTTCCTTCAGCTCTTCATTTCCTCTTGTCTCATGCAAAACTTACTTAAATAAATAAACAGATATTTCCCCTTGGTGATTGCTGTAGAGGCCTCTGGCACCAACCTGCAAGAGCACAGGTGAAAGACGTGTTTCTTCTCTTACATAAGCAACCAAAACAGGAATGAACGTTCGAGTGCACAGAAATTTTCTCGTACCTATTTTTCCCTCTAGGTTACAAACTAAAATTTTGATTGTAAAATTCAAAAACTCAGGATTTGGCAAACACAATTCAACTAGTCTTACTTTTTTTTTTTATCTGTGCACCCTTAATTAATAGGTGAGTCATCTCAGGTCTGGGATTTTCTAGTGTTTAAGAATGTTATACTCTATGGGGTATGGATATTATACAATTGCTGAAGAGCCAAATTATTGTTTCTCTGTAGATTACCAGTGATGTTCTGACAGATTACTTACAAATCAGTGGGAATTTGGCTTACAGAAGGCATAAATTAAGCATCAAGTTTTGTTAAATTGTGGCAGATTGGAGAAGGTATTTTCATTTGTTCATTGAAATAACAGACTTTGGTAGGCACTGGGAAGCTTGTAGAGGTGTAGAAGCTTATAAAAGAGGCTGAATGTGCCTGCCACTAGTTAAAACCCTGGACACAATAGAGTAACACAGTGTCAGTTACAGGGTGCTGGTTTCCTGCTGAGACCAGTAAAACCTCTGGCCTGAAGGAATCAGGACAAGTTGCTAGAGAAGGCGGCTTTAGGCAGGGTCTTTCTCAGTCTCTCAGAACCATCAAACCTCCCCAAAATGTACTTTCTCCCCCCTCATCGGTTGTACCTGTTATTTGCCATTATTTCTATGATTAGAGGTGCATGTCTGTCACTGTCTCTAGGCTGGAAAACATTTCAGGGAGGAAGCATGCTGGCCCTGCTTGTGCAGTTGTGACAGTGTGTGGCTCACTCAGAAGCTTGTCACGGAGGGGTAGATGAAGAGGCATTTGTCAGCCCCCGCTATACAGCTGACATGTGCCATGCATAATTCTTTGTGTTCCTCACAAGAACACCTTGCCATAGTGTCGTTCTTGCCTGGCTCACCAATCTGCCTACCACCTCAGGATCAATGTGAGATTCAATCTTAGTCTGGCTGGGAAGCACTGCTCAGCCTACCATGGTGTGGGCGGAGGAGGCCCAAGCTGCAGGGTAGCTAGAGGGGCTGCCTGAGGGAGGGGTCACAGCCACAGCCCTGCCAAGCTCTGCTGGGAGAGCGAGGAGCTGGGTTTCTGTTCCTTGAAGGAGACATCTGATGGGACTGTTGGTTGCTGGTCACTGGCCTTGACTGTCTTTCATAGCCTGATAGTTCTGCCCAGATAACTACCCAAATGCCCCCCCAACCCCCCCCCAAAAAAAAAAAAAACGAAACTACAAAGCTGTTGTACTTGGTGCCTGGCATGATTCCTGGCTTCCATTAACACCGCTATTCCTGGCTTTTAGCATAGCTTGCTTCTCAACTGGTCCAAGGCCAACCTTGATCCACTCCAGGGCTTCTCCCTGTGACTTATATCTCAGTCCTATAGTCATAGTCAGCCTTAACCTACGCTTAGCTTCTTCACCTCTGTACTTGGCTGAGCAGCCAGGACCCTAGTCCCTGGTCACAGGACGCAGGCGTGCATTGCACAGCGGAGACAATGGCATTGTGCCAGGAGGCTGCAAAAGCTGCTCCACCCCTGAGTGGACATAGTGGAATCAGAATGGCAGACAGAGGAGTAGGTGGAGGAGGGGATATGGAAGGAGAATGGGTGATATCCAGTAAATGAACTGATGAGTGGTGGGGTGAGGATGTACAGGAAGAGGAGGGGAGGAGAGACACAGGTGGTAACCCTCCGGGCCTCTGCCTAAGCTTTAAGCTGCCCATTTTGGTCTGGAGACAGTTTTGCTTTCCCGGGATTCCCTCCTACCTCTGTGCTTGCATTCTGTCTTAAGCTCACCTCTCCCCTCCTGGAGTCACACAGAGGCAGCAGTCAGTCATTTGGACCACTTTCTCTTCCCAGCTTTTCCCTGATGGTTATGTTTCCCGTTTCTTTCCAGTTTCAGAAATCCCGTGTCCCACCTGACTCACTGTCTTTTAAAAATGTACCTTTTTATGTGTTCCACCAGAGCCAGAGCGCTTCTGTCAGAGCACTTCTCCTCCACTGCAGGGCTGTACTCATGCCTGTGTCCAGCCACCGCCCCCACCCCCAACCGCCAAGAGTACATTCAGAAGCCCCAGGTCTAGCCTCTGGGTCGGTGGTGACAGGTATCCACTTCTTTCCAGCCAACTCCTCCTTCCCAATACTCATCTCGTGTTGTGAAAGATGTTAGCTGTAAATGCAGCAAGTGATTATTTATAAGGGCATGGAATTGATTATCTATTTAGCATTGTCTTCTAGAATAATAATGATGTGCTAACTTGGTGGCAGGTAATAGTCCATGTGTGTTCTTTTATCATGATTCTGTGTGGCCTATATATATTTTAAACTGTATTTTTGTATACTACTTCTACTAGTGCATTTCCCATTATTATAATCCAATAGCTGGGGCTGGTGAGATGGCTCAGTGGTCTAAAGCACCTACTAAGAACAAGCTTAGCAAAGCACAGGGACTGCGGTTCAATCCCCCAGCACCACATGCCAGCCAGCCCCGCCCCCTGGTGGGCTGATCTGACCACACACACACACACACACACACACACACACACACACAAATAAATAAATAAATAAATTAAATTAAAAAAAATAATCCAATAGCTGAGGCTCAGTACTTTATGTAGAAAGAGGTTTATTTAGGTCACAATTCTAGAATTTCAAGGGCATGGAGCTAGGGCTCAAATGAGAACTACTTAGTCTATTATCCCTCTGTCAGTAAATAAATT